CTTTTATATATTATTATAGATGTAAGAGTTTTTAAGGGAGTTAAAATAGTTATTTTGTATTAGAGGATATTTTTTAAAAATATTCCTCAACAAATATATTTTTAAGATTTTTTAAAAATAAACTAGAGTATTTTTGGATTTTTTTAACATTTCATCTCTTTTAATCTATCGTTTCATCTTTGTTTTTAAATTATTTTTTAAAAGAAATTATCAATAATTAAAGGTAACATTATATTATAATATAAATTATTTATTATAAATATAAATATACGTCATATGTTTTAAAATATTTATTTATTATAAATTTTACACATGATATAATGTATATATTTAAAAGTATCTATTTATTCTAATTTTTATATAAATAAGTATTTATATTATTTGATGATTCTTTTATTCTCACTTACAAATCACGAAGAAATGTAGATTATCTATCATTATTTAATCCATCCGAAAAGGGAATACAGCAAGAGGTGAATAAATTAGAAAGTGAGAAGAATGGAAGAGCAAATCATATGAAAAGGAGCGTATCCAAAAAGGGACCAAATTAATACTTAAGTAGGTCAAAAGGATTTCTCTTTGAACAAATAGAAGACAAAAACCAAACGAAAGGAGATCGTTTGAAGTTTTGAATACATAATTGAACGCTTAAATAATCAAGAATGTGAAGTATAGACCACATTATGTGAAAAACTTATGTTAACAAAATTAGTTAAAACTAAAAATAAATTATGTAACAATTTATCATGATTTTTAATCCTTAACTTGATAGAATTGACGACTAGTAGTAGAAAAACATACACATCTACTTTAGGTTATCACACAACAATTCTTAAATAATATATACATATGGAAAAAGTTGAGATATATAAATGTGTGTGTAAATATGGCTATACAATAATCTAAAAGTTATAAAAAAGTAACCTTAAGTGTCGGCCAAGCATCACTACCAAAAACCTATACAAAGTAACTTTTAGCTACACCGCTATCTAGTAAGGTCACAAATTGTCAACTCCTTAAGCCTATCATTGTTCTTCTCCCATAAAAACATGATCATTGCGATCCAACCACTAGAAAAGCATGCAAGGGGAAGGTAGAGCATATAAAACATAACACAAGTATAAAAGTAAAAACATTTATACTATTTACCAACATATAAAACCATACACATATCCCTTCATAGTGTACAACATAGCAACACACCAAACCTCTCAACATGTCATTCAACAACCTTACAAAAGTAAGCAACTTATAGCACATGATACATCATATTTCATCACATTGATGCCATTTAACCATAAAATCAACAAGCATACGAACAACATCAAATCAAATCACACCACATCATATATATACATTTCAACTAATACGTTGTCACGCATTTACCTACGGATATCTCCTACAGTAAGATGATTAGTCTAACTAAAATTGACCCTATCGAACCAATCGACCTTTTTACACCTACTAAATTAACAACCAAATTGATATACCAATTCCTAAGAACATGGTTTATTGGACGTCATCACTTAAACTAGGATGACTAGCAATCTTGTCAAGGTAGAACATCTTGGATATGAGTCTACCACGACATTAGCTTGCATGACTAAACCTCCTATAAATTTAACCCGTCGACTATCCTCCAAATATTATGTTCTTCTAGTACTCAATTAGGGACTAAGATCTTGACTTGTACCTTACTACTCAATTGAGCACTTTATATATGTATGTTTTAACCTTGCCCACATACATTTCAACATTGGTTACTTGTAGTCAGTATGCCTCAACTTAGCCCACATACCACATCAACTAAGGTCCTAAAGGAGACTCAAATATTCAATTTAAGAGTCAATTACTCAATAATGGTTTTCAACAAATTGGGCTTTTAAAGCACCACACCAATATCCTCACAATGAGATATCCAACTTTCGAAACACAATTTCCTCTAGTCTTAAGTCAATCAACAAATGGTTATAACATTCTCAGCATCACTCCTGAATGGTGTATCAAGACAACATGTCTAAATGCCTAAAGCATTTTTAGCATTGCATCTAGACGGTGTATAAACACAATATGTCTAAATGCCTAAAGCATTCTCAAAATTACACCGCAACAATTCAACAATAATAAATATCTATACATATTATTCTAGATCCATACACACACACACACACACACACACATATATATAACCAATAATCACCCATTTTCCTATAACATGCAATAAATTCACCTAATATATTCATGTTCACCATATCATCAATCACACAACATGAATTTTCAAAGTAAATTGTGCCTAGTGCCACACACCTTGCACCCAATCCTATTAAGGCATGGAGTTTTCTGTCTCGCCCACACTCGACATCATTGAACCCATGCCCAACATGGATAAGGCTGGGAATCCCTAGGTTTTCACGCTTAGCATGAAAAAGTCCACGCCCAATTCAATTTTAGGTAAAGACAAGTATCTTTCCTTACGCTTAACGTCATTCCTTTGATACTCAATGCCAATTCAAGCAAAGCCAATTTTATAATCTCACGTCCAACGTCATTTAAACCATGCCCGACATTACCAAGTCAAAGACTTTTCTCTCTCCTCAGGCCCAACGGGAGCAATATAGAGACTCCTTGATTTGAGTCACGCCTGACATCATGAAGATCTGTTTGGCATGATGATGAGTTTTGCACTTATAGACTCCCAAATTTTGCTCAAAGACTAATCATTAATCACTTGTTTAGTTTATAAGAAATGGGAAAGGGAGAGTCTAAATGAGATAATAAAAATGAACTAGCCAATATCATTGATAAGAAATAAGAGGTGATCACCATCTTTTTATTTTAGCATAAGACTAAATGAAAATGAAAGAGAAGTCTGATTTGTATTTATCAATTAGAAAAATATATAATTGATTAATATTTGTTGCTACAAATGTCAATTACATAATAAATATTTTTTCATATATAAAAAATTTTATAATAGTATTTATTTATTTCTTTCTTATTTCTCTTAAAATAATTAACTAAATTTTCACTTTATTTCTTATTTATTTTTACACACTTATTTTTTATTTATTTATTTTAACTTTTTTTTTCTTGTCTTTATCAAACACATCTTGAATGGATCGATACTTTAATCAATATGGTGAAAAAAAATATAATTCATATTTAAGCCTAAGTTATAATAAACGATCAAAAGTCTATGTTATAATATATTCCTTAAATAATTTAAGTCATAAAGGTTAGAAAAATATTACCAAAGGGAAATTAATCAAATTATGCACGAGTATCATGACTTTGTAGAGAAAAAAAAAAAAGTTGCTCATCCTTCTCTTTTCATGTCCTAGACGCGTGAGAATCACAAAAGTAGAGATTAAAGTAAAGTTATATTATAATATTTTAATTAAAATGTATTTATATTGTCGAAAGATTATATATTATCGGACATATTAAGATTATTAACTTTGTAATTAGTTTAAATTTTATATTTAAAATAATTTTTAGTTTATTAATAATATAAAAATTAAACTAACAATATATTAAAATTGAACTCATTATTTTTACTCGCTTTATGAACTAAATGTCTTTACAAAGCTTATTTTTTTCTTTCGCATCATTTATTTTATTTTATTCTTTTATATCGATTTTCTTCTTCTATTTGTTTCCTGATTGTAGAAATAGACGTAAAGAAAAGTATAAGAATAGAATCCCGTAAAGAAAATGATTCTTGCATTTGGAATTTTATACATTATTTTTATACGATTTGCCAACATAAATGAAGCAAAATTTTAATTAGTTTATTTGTGTTATTATAATATGAAAAAAAATATTGTATTGGCAATATAAGAGGATAAATATCGGGAAAATATTTAATAATGGGTTATGAGCTGTTCATCAAGTCAACTAATGAATTTGATACTATATCAACCTCAGGCCTTATAGCATAAAGTTTGTAAGTTTTTGTTACTGTATGTTGTTTAAAGTGCTCATTTAATCTAATGTAAGACTTCTTACTCTCATTACATTACAACATAATACATTTCACTTAAAAATTAATTAAAAATGCTGAAAACACAAATAATATATATGGATAGATAGATAGAGATAGAGAGGGAGAGGGGGTTAAATTATAATTTTTTATCTTTAGAAACGTACAACTTAAAAAATAATATTTTAAAATACTTTAAAAGACTATGTAACAAAGTTTTGTCTCAAGACAAAAAGATATTTTCTTAAAATCAAGACTATATAGTAATCATAATCTTAAAAATCAATATTGATAGATCGAATTAATTGAATCGGGACGAGTGTTATGATTGATGACATTGTCCAATGCTGCCACAAGTCAACAACACATGCAAACAAAGAGACACATTAATGTTGCATTATGCGTCGCTTCTCTTCATAAGATGTTGCCAAAAAAAAATGTAAATGCTTTGAGAGTCACAAAATATCTCTCATGAATTTACTTGACATATTAACAAATAAAACACATTAAATGCATGATATGTGAATACATGTATCTCATATTATTAGACAATAATAAAGAAAATACTAAAATATGTTAATATAACATGCATCAAAGGAATATATAATTTTTTATAAAAAAAATAGTGTTACAATTTTTAAATTAAACTAATTTACAGGAATAAACCTAGCTACCAATAAATTGTGCACACAAAACATTACAGTGTTATAATAAATATTGGTGAATGCATATATTAATGGTGGTGAAAACCGAGGATCAAAGTCATAAAGATGTAAGCAAATATTTGTGGAAGCTTTTCCAAAAAGTTAAATGGTGAAGACAAGTGAGCCATTTGCAATCAGATTTGGATTCTCCAATGTCTATGATAAGTTATTTTAAATGGGGATCCTCGTTCTTTGGAATTTGGCACCAACATCAATATTCCACCCCCCAAAAATCCTCAGTTCAATTCATGTTCAAGATAACTATATAAAGAACATAGATCCCCTTACTATATACTCAAACAACTTCAGTCAAAAACTGTGCCCCCGTTAACTCCTGTGTCTGAAATTCATTTTCTCATTTCTCTCACCATGTTGTCTCACTTTCTTGTAACTTGCCACAAAACAAACTTTTGGCAAGTAACTTGTGAATAGAAGCGGCGATTAGTTCCAACGTAGACTGCAACTATGTACAAGTTGAACCATGCAATGCACAAATTAGCCACAAACTAATAGTGTATATGCAGTACTTCTTGTCCCCTTAACAGGTACCTACGCTGTTTCATATATTCAAGAGGCGTGTGTTGGGGTTTAGTTTTATGCAAAGTTCTTTCATTATTCCCTCCATATATATCTTCTAGTACTGTTTGTATATTTTTTTATAAACTGCATAAATTATTGGTATCAATATATTCGAGATCAAGTGTTACACATGTACGTCCTTCATTCTTGTTATACACGTACTTCTATTTAATAAGGAAGTATAACCGTGATTTTAGTGATTCCTTACGATTAAATCATAAATCAAAATTTGATTTTTAGTTAAGAAATATAAGTGGCTAAACACACAGTGATTATAAATTAATGTTGTCACTCTAGTGATTGCTTGTATTAGACTGGTAGTGGTTGAGCATCGGCTATATGTTTGTCGAGAAATTGAGGCCGCAAGCCCATATGTACAGTACACTACAGACTAAGCGAGAAATTGATATCTTGTTTTTGTACACATTTTTTTTATAATTAATTTTGTTCTTATAATCATCTCTCCAAACATGCTGTTTTTTTTTCTATTCCTTTTTTTTCTACTTTATCCTAAATTTCATCTTTTAAAACTATTAAAAAAATGTTCAAAAACTACTTTTACAACTATAACTACTAAAAAATTGCTCAGTGTTTCAAACTCTAATATTGTTACTTTCTCACTTTTATTTTGTTTTTATTTTTTTAAAAATACACGAAAGTATAAAGCACTTCCTTATGCTGATATAAAAAAGAAAAAGCCTTTTTGTTATCATTTTAACGACAATTAGCTTTAATTTTAATTAGTCATTTTAAAATTTTAAAAATGTTATTAATTGGTAAGTAAAAGAGGAAGAAGAAGAAAAATTTTAATTATTTTTTATGTTAGTATAATTTTTATTTTATTGTATTATTTTTATTTTTTTAACATTATTTAAGTTTAATTAACTTTTTTTGACTCTATAATTTTATGAACTATACTTTTTAATCCCGAAATTAAAAATAATTTATTTTTATTTTTAAATATATAATAGTATGTATAGTCACTAAAATAAAACATTTATAACTGCATAGACTATAAGATTATATAAATTTATAAAATTATGAAAGATAAATTTAGTTATTATTATTTTTAAATATATTATAAAATATATTTTAATTATAACTG